TAATTAGCGAAGAAGCTGTATCGCAAACTGCATGTGACGAAGCAGAAGGGCATGATCGGTCTGCGCCTGAATGCAGTCGTCGATGTAAGCTTCGAACACTATCCCCTTGCGGTGAAGGAAACAGGTGATAGGCTTCGATACCCATGTGAACAGCCACGGGGCCGAAGAAATTCCAAACGGGAGGACTCGCCACTGATAGTGGGTGCCCTCGAAGACAAACCGAAGGAACTCGCGAAGAGCCGGAAAAATAGGGATGTGAAGGTACTCATCCTGGAGATCAAGACTGACCATGTAGTCTCCCGGTTTGATGACTGTTGAGAAGAGCCACCGACACCATACGAAAGTGAGGCGGGGGTTGTAGAACCATTTTATGGAAAACCTTCATATTGAAAATTAGTCCCAACTTGTCCGAATCTTTCTTTGGCACCAGAAAGATTGGCAAATAGAACCCAGGACTCGATCGCAAGTTTCTGAAGGAGAATGTCGATTGTGGAGCGTAGAACAGCCGTCTGAGATACGATACGTTCGAGTAGCCAAGCTACCATAACAGCACTGAAGAAGTGCTGAATGTAGGAGGTTCGTGGCATGGAGATGTCAGGAACGTACACATTGTACACAGAGTGATGAAGGCCATATAAACAGTGATTGTAGGAACGTATAGTTCGCCAAATGAAGTGTTGGTCCACCAGATGGAGTGAGAAAGTTAGTAGATACGATGCATGGGATCATCAGTCTACCGGAACATTGGTAAAGTTGATGGAATGGCAGAGGTAAAAAAAGACCAATGACCCCAGACACGTTCGATAAAGAGACGAAGGTAGTAACATCGATGCCTACGGACAGTCCGGACATAGCTGCAGTGACCTCTGAACTGAGGCCTTCAGCCTCGGCGACTCCGTCTGGCACCCTCGGTAAACTGCATCTCCCAGCTGACTGACAAACTCGACATAATCACTCCTACCGGGATTGGCACCGTTCATCATCACTTGCAATTAAAGGCTGGGATAGGTATCCGCTTCGTGGGACCAAGACAAGTCAGTCAGGTACTTCCTAATCGATGTATCATCAAAAGTCTCCCCCGTTGAAAAGCTGTTTACAACTATACACGACTTCCTGTTATGTGAGCTATGCTCGACTTCAGCGCAGGGCATTGTCTCTCATGGACCAATCAAATTGCAGCATTTGATTCATCTCAGATTCCCGCGATGTGACGTAACCAGTGTTGCAGGAAAAAGATCCTTGTAAAATCTTGTGCAGTCGTTGATTTCTTCATCAACACTCGGCCTTGTCCGTAATCTCCCGGAGTTACACGAGTGAACACGTGTACAGCAGACTGAGTGGAAAACGCCTGAAAGATTTCGCCGCGTAATACCAATGTAAGTAGACTGTCTCCTTGGCTATTGTGATTGTTTCCTTCTTCACTGAAGATAATGTAATCGTCATCTTAACAGATGATCAGCTGAAGTTCATACTTGCTTAACGCTGTTACTTGTAGACTATAGTCATTGGTCTCAATGAAGCACCATAAATAACCAATTGTGTTGAATACATAAAGGTTCTTGTAGAGCTACAAGTTCATCTACGACTCCCATTGCAGAACTTATACATCAGCGTGCTTGACTCTTGTGAGGAAGGGGACAGCTTGACAGTTATCACTGGCCTAGCTCAATACTGAAGCCAGTGAACTATGAGGAAGCACCGAACCGGGAACACCATGAGTAAGTGCTGAACCAGGAGCACCATAAGGGAGCGTCGAACCAGGAACCCCATTAGTAAGCGTTGAACCGGTAATACTGTAGGTAAGCGCTGAACCAGGAGTGAGTGCTGAACCAAAAGCACCATGATGAAGCGCCGATCCGGGAAAACCGGAGGTAAGCGCCGATCTGGGAGCACCGGTAATAAGCACTGATCTGGGAGCACCGGTAATAAGCGCCGAACTAGGAACACCAGTAGTAAGCGCTGATCCGGGAACACCGGGGAGGAACCGCGGATCCGGGAACACCGGTAAGAAGCGCCGAACTGGGAACACCAGTAGTAAGCGCCGATCCGGAACCACCAGTTGTAAGCGCCGATCCGGGAACACCAGGAGGAAGCGCCGATCCGGGAACACTGGTAAAAAGCGCCGAACTGGGAACACCAGTAGTACGCACCAATCCGGGAACACCGGGAGGAAGCGCCGAACTGGGAACACCAGTAGTAAGCGCCGATCCGGGACCACCAGTTGTAAGCGCCGATCCGGGAACACCGGGAGGAAGCGCCAATCCGGGAACACCGGTAGTAGGCGCCGAACCAGGACCATCAGTAGTAAGCGCCGATCTGGAACCACCAGTAGTAAGCGCCGATCCGGAAATACCAGTTGTAAGCGCCGATCCGGGCACACCGGTAGTAAGCGCTGATCCGAGACCACCAGTAGTAAGCGCCGATCCGGGAACACCGGGAGGAAGCGCTGATCCGGGAGCACCGGTAGTAAGCGCCGAACCAGGACCATCAGTAGTAAGCGCCAATCTGGAACCACCAGTAGTAAGCGCCTATCCGGAAATACCAGTTGTTAGCGCCGATCCGGGCACACCAGTAGTAAGCGCCGAACCGAGACCACCAGTAGTAAGCGCCGATTTGGACAAAGGCGGCGCGCTCTGAAAGACATCACGTGATCGGCAACAAGCGGCGCTGTCACTGATATCTGGCCGAAAGGAAACGACACTTGTGAGGCAAGTGGTGCACTAGAATAAAGTGGTGGTCTAGAAGCAAGTGACACATTCGACTGAGACACCGAATGCGAATCAGACGAAGTAACAACCACCGTAGACAGATGAGGTTGTGGAGAGGACGTAGACAACACAACAACCCTAGATGGAGACAAGACTTCCAACGTGATGGGGTTAAGGCCACGCGGTCGGAACAGTTGTCGTAAGTTCTCACTTAGGTAACAATCAGACGCCTCCCCTAAGAAATCTTCAGTAGGTGACGGGGACCTCAAAACGACGGACTGATGTAGTTCTACGACGTTCGGCCTTGGGACGTTTCGATGCCGACGGACCTTCAGATAGTTGACGGCGATCTCGATCGGATAATCGTCTACCAGCCACCCGGCGATATGCTGAGAAATCATCATCGTTGAGATCCTTACAAAAAGTACAACGACGCGACCATTTACATGTGCCTAAACAGTCTACACACAAGGCATGTGGATCCGCTGCCGAAAAATTACTGTTGCATTTATCACAATGCTTTCGTTTCTTAGAACTACTGCGATTAGACTTTCCCATAGTTGAAGGAAAACCGCAAACAAACTTTCTATAGACAAGCACACGTCCACACGACGTAGCGACAAGAAAGAGAATGACAGGCACAGGTAGTCACATGATCATCTGAGCGAGCTCCACGCTTACAGAGATGATTGACAGGTGCTGATGTCGGAGTGAGGGCAGAGGTCAGGGCGGGTCAGAGGCCAGCAAGATTTGATTCAACTTAGCCTACAGCACGTTTCCACACATGGTTGTAGAAGAAGAGAAGAGGTGCATACCATGAGATAGGATAAGTTTAAAAATTTGCTCCATACAATGAAAACTCGATGCATACGGTGTTGTCCGAACTGGTTCTCAATCACAAGTTGTACACTGGATATTCGTAAAGAGTGCTCCGAGGGGTATAACTCTATGGGGTTCTCTTGAAATAATATTCAGCAGGTAGAGGGCGTGAGAGTCTATTTAATGCAACATTACATGTATTCATTCAAACTTTTTAATTTAATATTGTAATCTAAATACATATGGGTTTTTTATTTCTATAGGCCAGACCAATTTTATTTCTTGTTTACGAATCCGCCGGTCATATTTTTTCAAGAATAAGAAAAAAAAATTAATTAATTTTCCCCGCTTAAAAACAAAATTTTAATGTTTTTATTGGCCAAAAATGTAAATGTGCAAGAAAATGTTTTCAGATTGTATTTTTTTGGCCCCATATACACTTCATAAATTGCCAAAAGTAAAATAATTTTAGTATTTAAAAGGAATATTACTTTGACGTGATTTTGTTTTTCCCCTCCTGCCTTTAGGTTTTCTGAGGACAAAAATCTGTAAAACAAGAAATGAAATTGGTCTGGCCTTATTATTTTTTTTAATAAATTATATGGTAGCTTCCCTGAGGGCTGACAGTGTTATTGAGAGAAATGCATTATTTAATTTTTCACAGTGACACCAATGTTCCTTAAGGGATGGCTTTGGAGATAGTTACATTATGATCTGGTAAGGAATAAGGGCTACATGAACAAAATTGTGATTGATCGGTATCGAGACCTCTGTGAGATACCAGGATAAGACATACACCTTTGAAAAAGAGAGAGCAAGTTTAGTTTATGTCGCTTATATCAATATTCCAGCAATATCATACAAGCGACACCAGAAATGGGCTTCACACATCGTACCTATGTGGGGAATTAAACCTGAGTTCAGTTTTTCACCGCTTGCTGGAATATTAAGCAGCAATATTCCAGCAATATCACGGCAAGGAAAACCAGAAATGGGCTTCACACTTTGTACCCATTTGGGGAATCGAACACAGGTCTTCTGCATGACGAGCGAATGCTTTAACCACTAGGCTACCCCCCACCATAATGAAAGAGAGACCCAGGCTATGTTGCTGGAGTTGTGCAGCAGTGTCTGATACTAGAACAATGTGAGTGTGTTTACCGTGTCCTGCAAGATTACCTAAGCTGTTGCCAATAATCCATGTCTGGGATGAGATGATTTAATGATCCCCAACAGCATTGCAGGAGCTCCGTCATATTCCTCTCTTCTTTCACATGATCCTACTGTAGCCAAAGATTTCTGTGAAAAACACTGCCTTGAATTGTTTCCCAAAACAAACATTGACACTGACAGTAATTACAAGACTAAACACTTTGATTGAAAGAGTAAATGTACTCCCACATTTATTGGAAACTAAAAACTGTCTAGACCATTGTCATTTACCATATTTGAAAGGTCAAAATAAAAAAATGTTTCATATTTCATGAATGGTTTCAATTCTTGTGATTTTACAGATAGTGCCTTAGCACTATAGCTCACCTGGTTAATGTAGTCAACAGTTTAAAATGTTAAAGGGTGACAGTTATTCAAAGATGTTCTGCATAAATACTGAAGAACAAAAAAATCACTGAAATCATCATAAGGAGAAACATCATCGCAAGCATACATGTTGAACCTTATTCTCTAAGTACACATGTACCAAAGTTTTGTACAAATAGTAATCACTATAATAAGTTCTTCAATATGGCTGCTATGGAGGCCAATAAAACAAGATTTGAACCCCTTAAACATATTCTGGTGCGATAATTGACAAAAACAAGCATGTTAAGTTTTCAAAGTCTCTGAGGAAATGAGTCCTACTACTAACTACAGATATACCAATTCAGATTTTTCAACAATAACCATGACTAAGTAATGGTCGTAGGTTTCTTCAATGCGGCAGCCATATTGAAATGTGGATTTGAACATGTTGAACAAATTTAGTTTCATTGGCTCAGTTTTTTTCCGATGAGATGTTTGACACACGACAGACAGGCCACTATGTAAGCTCACTTGACTTTCAATCAGGTGAACAAAATGTTTATGATGGCTTATAGAATATGCACAAATACTGCAGGGCTAAAAGTCACTTATGTTTGGGAGAAGTGATGTGAATAAAACACCATTACTTGTACAATGCACACATAAGAAGGTAAGTGCTTTTTATTAAAATATACTCCTGTAAAATAATCAAATCACAATAAATTATCACAATATATATTCATTTTTTTCCTTTGATCAAGTATACCAAATAACAATGATAAATAGTAACAAATCTGTTCAGCAAGCCCTCACTACCTGAAAGCTGGCACAGGCTGGAAACCCCTAACTAAATCAAATCAGTATGTACAAGAACAAGCCACTTACACTGAAGAATCTGAGCAGGGCTACAGAAATCTACACAAAATGTGACGGTATCAACTAAACCTATGGTTCGTCCTGCTTTATAATGGTATTGAACATAACTCCAGCTGATAGTCTGCCAAGATTGCAGGTTCCTCAATGTACTTGACTTCCACTATGTGACACTGTATAACCTATGCCAGCTCTACATGCATGTACTGGAGTGAGTGAGTGCGTTAGGTTTAATGCAACCTTGAACGGTATTCCAGATATGGCATATCAGCTCAATGTGCGATGTACGGTCCCAGCTTTGATGTTTACTGCTAGGTAAAACCCACAAGCATGGCCATTGTGCTGACAAACCTAAATTGTGTCAAACCAGGCTTTGAACCAAGAATGGTAGGTTTCTAGTGGGGCTAAGGGACACAACACTGCACTGCTTCCTGTGCCTCCAGTCTAAGTAAACTTAGGCTCAGTATTATTCGTGACACTGCTATACTGAGTCTAACAAAACCTAGTAGAAGGTTGCGTCAGCTAACCTTTGAGCGACCATCCAATCAAACGTGAGACGGCCAAACGGATTTAACCAATCAGACAACGACTACTTGTTAGGGTTTGGCGGGACTTACAAAACGGTTTTGGGATTTTCTCTTCCCTGGTCGCTGACACTGATCTATCAACAAACGAAAATCCGCATAAAACACAGATATTTGACCTGCAGTATATACATTTATGGGTTTCTAATGACATGGTTACTATTTGCTTATATTTTCGCTAGATGACATCCTTGAATATTGACAAAAACGCTATTTTCAGCGACTGTTTACTCATTGCGTGTATCACTCGGAAGCAATTGTGCGGAAAATAGCATTCAGAATTGTTCGAGTTTTTGGAGGTAAAGGTTCAAACGGTATGTGCGAATGTTAACTTTCGCAATTTGGTAAGCTGTGTTCTGATTGGTCAGTCTAAAAGGTTAGCTGATGTGACCTTCTACAAGGTTTTGTTAGACTCAGTATAGCAGTGCAACAAATAATACTGAGCCTAGGTTTACTTAGACTGCCTGTGCCTCCTACATGTAGTAGACATGGCATGGTATGGCATTCCTGTACAAGGCTAATGTTGGCATGCTGATAGTGCAATGCAAACCACACAAGCATATATATAAAATGGCTGTAGGCTGTTTATGAAAAGCTAAAACAAAAATACTTTTTAAAAGTCCAGGGGTTAAAAGATAAACCAGCTTGATTGAAACAGGCAAACAATGTAAAAAAACCATATGTTTAGAAATGCTTCATTCCATACAGTGCAACAACAGCATGAAACAAGCTACTTTTCATACACCGGAATATCTGTGTGCACTTCGGGGCCACATGACGCTAAGGCTGGGGGGAGTGGTCTGTATAAACACAAGCTATGGCAATAGCAGACATGTAACAGATCGTACATTGTATAATTACTGACATCACTGGGGACTTGGTAACGAAAGACTGGACTGGGTAACGAAAGACTGGATTGGACAGATGCTGCAGGATACTGCTGCCTGTCAGGACCAACATCTAAAGCATGTTTCAGAGAGTAGCAACATAAAAGACAACCTACTCTGCACAGTATCTAACTTATAAAATGAACACCAGTTGTCTTCCTGACCACTACCAATAACATTATTATCTGAATCTGTAATATCAGTGTTTGGCAACACCAACACTTCAATTCATTCAGCAAACAAACATTTTTCAAAATAATCTCTACTTCAGAAAAGAATACAACTTGTTTTGTTAACAAAACAATTTACAAATTGCAATGATCTTCATATGTACACACATAATCCCTCTACAGGTTCAACATAAAGGAGATGAGAGGCACTTTAGATGTGTAACCAACACTGATTCATAAGTGGAGGTCTTATCTGGGTATTTTTGACTTACACAAAATAAAATACCATGTCAGTTGGTGTCAAAAAGAGGGAGTGTAAGACTTAACACTAACAGTAAATGTCCACTTAAAATGTCACCTTGAGCATCTACGTCACTATGATTAGTGAGTCACCAATAAATAACAGCCAACCTTCACTGAAATAATCACACTTAGCATCAACTTCACCATGGTTACCGAGAGTTACAAATCATTAACTGTAACTGAAATTGTTATATTCCTTCAAATACTCTCAACAGCAGCTCTACACTGACCAAGTGAAGAAACTGTTCTTGATACTGCTATTGCAGCACCCAGTACAGTGACTGTTCAAATAAACAGACTACCCTTCATAGAGCAAGTGACCTGTTCAAGTTACCTGTTGCGGGGTAAGGCAATTTATACAGTCAGGAAATGGCAGGCTGCACAAGTGATGGACACAACATAGGACACACATTCACAGTTGTCAACCGCTAAGGTGGAAATGGTACAGAAACTATAATAATGGCACATGGACCAGCTAGACGGCAAATTGTGTAGCTAACAATGTTATTGATGATACTCATGGCAATATTGAAACCGGTACTTATTGTCATCAGATAAATCAAGTAAGCTTCACTACATATTACACTCACCCTTTCTTTGACAAATCACTTGTCACAATGTAGGAGGTCAAAATGAGCTGATGTATGACAGATGTTTTCCATGGTGCTAGAAGCAAATTGAGCTGGGGTAGATTTGGGTGCAGCAGAGACACTTGCCTCTAAATACATCACACTCATCACAACAAATATTGTTCAGGAAGAGAACTGATCCTTCAATACACATTTTCACTTGAAAGTGATCAAAACATGAATGTAAAGATGGGGGCATATTGTGATGATGTAAGTTTTCAGCAGTTAGGTAAGCCTTAAATCTTTAAAGCAAGCTTATGTGCATCACCTGTCTTATTGACAAGGCATCTCAGCAAGAAGATTTCCAGTAACATAGAGTTGATAGGATCAGCTGTGATGCAACATGCCTTCTCAAGACTTTAATACTATGACTATACGTATTTAAATGAAATATGTTTGCTCAAAACATTGTCTTATGATGAGACCTGTTTCACACACACAACTAATCTATGTTTGCACAACCCAGTAAGGTGAGTATCCCTTATCTCATATGAATCTGCTGTATGAGATCTACCCAAACTACAAATTGTAGTGGAACTGTAGCATGACGGAAGTCACTTGTGGTCACTTGTGACATGAACTAGTATCTGATGTGAGTACAAAGCGATGTGTACAAATAATAAGCACCATCTGAAGTGAAAACATGGTTGAAGTGCTTGGGTGGAGACACCTATCAGCATGGGATTGTATCAGCACGGCTGGCGCCAGCATGGCACCATGCTGCCCTACTTTGGCCTCTCCTAGCTGTGAGTGAAATGTTTCAACACCCCTGGAGAGGTTCTGACGCGTCATACAAGAGAATCAACTGTAGGTGGGATAAGCGGGACTATTCAAGGGCCTACATATGGCAATGTGTAGGATGATTACAAAAGGTATGGATTTACCATGAAAGGTACCAGTTGCACATCATGCATGATCAGCTAGTTAATGATGGCAAGTGTCAGCTTCCACAGAAATGCAAACAAAACAAATGAACTTGAAGTAGACATGTTAAGTAATGTAACATAGATCACACAAACTGGTTTCCATTAACAAAAACAAATGCAGCCCTGCATTCAGTAGTCCAAAACATGGCATATGTTTCCTACATTGTAACATTTCTAGGTGTTTTGTCTACTAACAGGTACAAGATAGGGTCAGTCACACCTGCTTAAGTACCACAACATTGCCCTCAACTTCTGTAGGACACTCATGAATAATTTCCATCCTTTCTTTGACTGGAAATAATCAGACACACTATAAGACAAAAACACCAGCACCACATACTGCTGAACACAGGGCTGATAATGCTGAGTCAAACACAACAAGACTTAAAATAAAATAACCCATTGAGTTATCTACCCTTATATCTCCTTATGAGCTCCACCGTTGAGTTAACAGCATCAGAGTAGAATTGAACATTTGATCTGCCATGTTGAAATGTGTACTGGTGCACAGATTCACTGTCAGCTATACAGCATAAAACATTATGTTGTTCTCAACTACACTTAGTACACTTAGTACTGAGCCTAAAGTGCCTGGTCAGTCGTGGTATTGTTCTCAAGGTGTAATGATGGAGTGTACTAACTGCCCACACTCATGTCCGGTCACAGAGGTCCCCTAAAGATGGGTTGGCGGCTGCCTTCGGTGAGTTGACAAAGAGGTAGTGGCTGGTTCAGACTGACGGTTGGACACTGATGACTTCTATGTGATGTGATGTATGTTATGACTGGGCACAGAGGAAATGACTTCTTTCTGTTCATGTATTCTCCACCAGCTCCTTCTATTTCCAGCATGTACAGCACACTGGCAGCAGTAATCATTGTTGGCAGTACACACATCTTCTGCTAGAAAAACATGGTAGGAATCTATGTTGTCCATGTCAGGAGGGTAAAGTTGTCCTCAATAGGTAGATGCAAAACCGCACTAGAGAAACCAGTAACAACTCAGCCAACAATGTGTACAAATAAAATCAGTTCACAGGAAAACAACTAAGAGTACCAGTCACATTAAACTGTTTTTATGCCTGCAAAAAACCTAAAAGAAACACTTGCTTGTGATATGTTTTTGTGGCCAGCTTTGCAGTGTGAGTCTCTGTCTCCCTGATTACAGTGGCACAAGACTGTTAGGACTGTGAACCTTCCTTTTATTACTGACTTATTGTAGTGGAGTTAGACCAGTCTGGCTGCATGTCCCCTTCTGGAAGAAGCTGTAGTACTGGGCTCTCCCCAACTGTAGTGCAATGCTGACTGGCAAATGGAGGACATGACTGGGTGTAACATTGTATCCCACCATGATGGCACCCCAGCCACACTGCTGGTGTTGGGAGAAGGAGGTACAGCAAGTGGTGAGGGGTGGAGTGATGAACTGTGTAGGGATGGTGGTATGTACAGCGGATCTCTTTCACTGTCACCTGGGTGCAGGATGCTGGGCTCGGTGGGTCAGGAGAGCTCGCCATAGTCGACACAACACACCGCCCCTGTAATAAGCCATTGGATGTACTGATTGCAAACTGTTTCAGGAAAGTAGTTTCCAGACAAAAACCCTGGTGACTTAGTGACAACTCCCCTCAAACCAGTGACCCTTGATAAATCTACAACTCTGTACACCCAGGGATCCTAGTTTAGACCCAAGGGATGAACTGCCAAGTTTATGGTGGCAATATCAATTCTTTTGAAATAAGTATGCTTCAGTGTTCCTAGCCTTTCAATACTGAAGTTAATACTGTGCCATGATGAATCTAGACTGAGAGTACAGAATGTCTGTGTAACCTACTTGAGTTGAAGGCGAGTGAGGTCTTCCTTGGTGGCCAGCTCCAGCAGGTCAGGCAGAGTGTACTCCTCCTGGCACACCTGTAGCACATGCAAGGAGGATACTCACTTTGTCTCACTCAATATTAAAATGATTCACATTGTTTACTTTCCTGATACAGAACAAGTTTAAAGAGCAACCTTGTCAATACTCTGTCATAAGCACAACGTTTTATGAAAAATTATTCATTATGTTTCTCATTTATAATTTCTAAAAAATTATTACTATGTATTCTCACTTAAAGGCAAGGGTTCAAACCTATACACAGTTGGGGTGTGGCCTCCTTGCCTTGTCAAAGCCGTCCTTAGATGAAAAGCAATGCAATCACAAAATTGACTTACTGGTTCAGACTGATATGTGGCCATATAGTGTAAAGAAGTAGGTTATGAAGACTCACTGAAAAAATGTATGGATGCAGACAGCCTACAAAACATACATTATGAAAATATATTTCTCTTTTTCAAATCCAGATTTGAATTTCCCCCTGTATCAGTCAGGTGGCCAGAAGAGGTACGTTTCCATAAGAAATAAGCCTGTGAGTTGGCTGAAAGTTGCATATTTCAAGAAGGCTGTGAAAATGCCACCCTCCCCACCCCCCTGACCCCATGCTCTGCAGGGTTAGGGCTGTACACTTGTTTGATGCTGACATCACCATGTTGAAGATTATATTTTCAGAAAATAAGTAAAATTTGAAATTTCATATATGCTAATCATTAACATATACTAGCCACATAAAGAAACTGTGCACACAGAAAATTCCTTCAGAATTGGAATACAACACAAAAAAGACGACATGATGTAGACGCTTTATAAGCTGAAGTATCGGGCCTCAACAACATGTCAAAAGAACATGAACAATATCCATAACGATGACGTCAGAAGTTCAAAATTGAGTCGGGGGTCACACGTCGAAGTCACAAAGTCAATAACGGGTATGACCATCATGCGCGTGATGCACAGCAGTGCATCGACGATGCATAGAGGCTACCAAATTTTCCAAATGAAGGCCTGGGGAATGGTTTGGGACGTGGTCACTGCCATCTGGAACCTGTGACTGATATGAGTCACCCGAATCCATCTGTCCTGTCTTGGCGCCGTTTACCGGGACGCCCATAACGTGGGTAGTCGGCGACGTCATTACTGTTTCCCTAACGCCTGACCAATGCAGATATCGTGTTACGATGGCATTGGAAATGTGCTGCCACCTGTTGTTGGCTCATGCCTGCTCGAACCATTCCAATGGTTTCATGACGTTGAGCACATGTTAATCTTGGCATGATGTGCATGTGACTTCTCATGTGAATTTGTGAACGTTTGAATGACCAAAGATCAAGCTTTCGACAGTGACAGCAATTTCTGAATTTCACAGGCTGCACGTGCAGTAACACATTGCAAGTCCATAGACCACCATCAATGACTTCACGTCGCCTGGCACCTGCATGAGCGTTTGATTGTCTCCAATACTTGCTATGTTCACACCTTTATTTATGCATAAAGACGCTGTCTGCCTATCTTTATATTTTCTGTGTGCACAGTTTCTTTATGTGGCCAGTATATATTGTGAAAGAGTTGGCATTTACTCTAAGGCACTATCTATTCTAGTAGTAAATTCCAAGGTTGACCTTTGACATCACCAGACTCTTGCCAGGCACCCATAGCCATTACAGTCCTGTCACTCATGGGCAGATAACATCTACACTGCTGAGGAGTAGCCAGTGGGAGACTACTACTAGATTTGCTCCCCGGCCTTTAAGGAAAATTACCAACAAATTTTATTCAAAATAAAAGCCCTCTACAGCCCAAATGGTGCCAAATGCTGACTTATGTACCTTGTGGCATACAGAAAGATTGGCCGGAGTTTGAGCTTCACAAACTAAATGATGGACATAATGTACCAATGAGACTGAGAACTGACCTTGTGAATGGTGTCCTGGTCAAAGTTCCGTTGAGACAGCCAGGACACTAGTTCCGAGTCAGGGATCACCTGAATCTCTGGAACACCTTCAACACAAATGTCATAGAAGTATTATCCTAACATAGCACTGGGGACAATCTCTTGATATAGTGCCGAAGGCAACGTCATGTTGTGCTCCTGGCAGAAGTATTATCTCAATATAGTGTGGAAGACGTCATGTTGTGCTCCTGGCAGAAGTTTTATCTCGATATAGTGTGGAAGACGTCATGTTGTACTCCTGGCAGAAGTATTATCTCGATATAGTGTGGAAGATGTCATGTTGTGCTCCTGGCAGAAGTTTTATCTTGATATAGTGTGGAAGACGTCATGTTGTGCTCAAACAGAAGTATTATCTCGATATAGTGTGGAAGACGTCATGTTGTGCTCCTGGCAGAAGTATTATCTCAATATAGTGTGGAAGACGACGTCATGTTGTGCTCAAACAGAAGTATTATCTCGATATAGTGTGGAAGACGTCATGTTGTGCTCCTGGCAGAAGTATTATCTCAATATAGTGTGGAAGACGTCATGTTGTGCTCAAACAGAAGTATTATCTCAATATAGTGTGGAAGACGTCATGTTGTGCTCAAACAGAAGTATTATCTCAATATAGTGTGGAAGACGTCATGTTGTGCTCAAACAGAAGTATTATCTCGATATAGTGTGCAAGGCGTCATGTTGTGCTCCTGGAAGTATTATCTCAATATGTGTGGAAGATGTCATGTTGTGCTCCTGGCAGAAGTTTTATCTCGATATAGTGTTCATGTTGTGCTCCTGGCAGAAGTATTATCTCGATATAGTGTGGAAGGCGTCATGTTGTGCTCCTGGCAGAAGTATTATCTCAATATAGTGTGGAAGGCGTCATGTTGTGCTCCTGGCAGAAGTATTATCTCGATATAGTGTGGAAGGCGTCATGTTGTGCTCCAAACAGCAGTATTATCTCGATAAGTGTGGAAGGCGTCATGTTGTGCTCCGAGTATTAGTGTGGAAGGCGTCATGTTGTGCTCCTGGCAGAAGTATTATCTCGATATAGTGTGGAAGGCGTCATGTTGTGCAGAAGTATTATCCTGGCATGTTGTGCTCCTGGCAGAAGTATTATCTCAATATAGTGTGGAAGGCGTCATGTTGTGCTCAAACAGCAGTATTATCTCGATATAGTGTGGGAGGCGTCATGTTGTGCTCCTGGCAGAAGTATTATCTCAATATAGTGTGGAAGATGTCATGTTGTGCTCCTGGCGGAAGTATTATCTCGATATAGTGTGGAAGGCGTCATGTTGTGCTCCTGGCGAAGTATTATCTCAATATAGTGTGGAAGACGTCATGTTGTGCTCCTGGCGGAAGTATTATCTCAATATAGTGTGGAAGACGTCATGTTGTGCTCCTGGCGGAAGTATTATCTCAATATAGTGTGGAAGACGTCATGTTGTGTTCCTGGCAGATAAGTTATTAGTCACACTTGTCACAGTCATGGGATAACAGGCAGACAGCAAATTTTGGATACTGAATTATGTTAGACATTTTATTATTGTTGTCACATGTTTCGACTCATCTCATATTTCCATACAGAATCATATAACAAACGATAAGTTTTTGAGCAACTTTGAGATATCGGTGTGAAAAAGACTATGACTGAACTCACCACTCCGATAAAATAGTACTGCAAACGTTTTAGTACTGTCAAAAGCTATGTGACTGACAGATCATCTGCTTTGTGTTAATGCAGGCTATCATAAAATCACATTGCCTCTGAAAAACTCATTTGATGTAAACAGCAAGCCAATAAGGAGAGCGTAAACAAATGACATAATTTCCTAGTGTCATGGCCGCACTTCCGAACTCAGAAGTAATCGAATCAGTTTCATTTCACAGACTTACAAATTAACATTTTCATATTAACATCTGACCGAAATAATATTAACCTCATCAACATTTGGTACCATGTTATAATTGTTCTAAGTTTATGTGCAAATGATTCTTCTGCCAGTGAAAACTGATGACCCTAGGATTATTATGAGCTGGATACAGGTAAAACAAGGTTTTGGGGGAGACAGAAATTGAATCATTACAACACACAAGGAGGATGACATGGGTACAGTTAACAGTAAGGCCATCCACATTTTTTTTATGTTTCTCTCATCTCCCCAAAAAGAAGAAGACCCCCTAAAGAAAAAAAAAAAGAAAAAAAAAAGTAGCAGTTTGCCATCTTCTGCCAGCTGTTGACAGAAAATGACCCTTCTACAGTACCCAGACCATAAAAAGAGGCTTTTCTTATTGTGAAAATCCTTTTCTCTCAATTTTAGACAGTTCATATATCATTAAACATAAGGAAACTACATGGAATAATTATGCTACAAACTTTTAATAGAGCCTCTTTAAATGTCGCATTGGATCATAATACAACAAAGTCAGTTCTTCAAAACTCGCACTTTCTTTACTTTTGGAATGATTTATCACTTTTTGTAGGTTTTTTGGCCACCGGTCAAAGGCTGTCGTCCACTGGTAGCTCACTGGTTGCAGGTCCACAGTTTAATTTCCAAGCGCAATACGAATTGACACGATAGAAGATAACAGGAAAATGCCATGAAAAATCGGTATATAGTCACGGCATTTCCTACCACAGAACACGAGACAGTGTAAGTCTCGGGTGTCATGGCATCTATGAAATAATGTAAACTCACTTTATATATCAGCCCTTATGTTATTTCCGACGGTCATTCTTCAACTATTGCCGCATTCAAATTTAACAAATAGTTCTAGTACTACCACTGATCTCAATGTTAAAAGAATCGGAGATACACCTCCAACCAACTGACCTGTATCCCCTGGAAGACCTTTATCGTAAAGTGATTATTACACATCCCTGACAATTGAAGAAATTCTGCGTAGAATGTAACCTTTAATTATAAATATGAATAGTACGTTTTGATCAGCAGTTCTTCACACATTTCATTTTGTTTTTAAATTCTGACAATATATGTTTCTGACGCATACTTAATGTACCATACACCTATTGTCCAAGTAGTCGGTTGCAGCATAAACACCAGTCATCATAGTTTGAAATAAAATATTTATAGCCCTTATAAAATGTGCCCATCAGTCAGTGCTGTGAGTCATTATATATGTTAATTCATTGATCCATTTCTTACAAAGGTTTAACACCATTCAACCTCTAAACATAAGTACTCATTTACAGAGATTTGTCTCAACAAACAACAGATCAGTCTGACCACCCAAGAGGATGTGTATGATAGAATTATGTGTGTATAGAATGACCTATGTATCTTCTTGTTTTAGTAACATTATGTTCATCAAATATTTCATGTGACAGGCCATACACTATCTAGCTATAGCTTTATATTCTGATTTTCATTCAACCGTTCTGAAGAAAACTTTATTGTTATGTCTGTTTGTTAGGAATTAACATAGAAAATGTGTTTAAAAACAAATATGTTTTTGATGACATAAATTCCATGTAGATATGTGTATGCATTGTTTATTTTTTTACAAATTTAACAGATGATACTTATGTACATTGACTAAATAAAGTCATGCATGTGTAATGTAATATTAAAGTACACACGCACCATCATACAAAAATATCAGATAAAATTCAATACGAAATTCACACGTTGCATAACAATGTCTTCACATTTCGCGGACAACATCAGCTCCCGGACGTACTGAATTACATGAATGCAGCCTAATCTGCGTAATACGATATAAATTTGAGTACAAATGCAAAAATACACTGCAGGCTTAAAAGTGTGATCTTCAGACATCTAGTGACAGAATTGAATTACCAATTGCAAAACGTCAACAAAATGACAAAATATGACCTGAAAACGATCAGCAGATTCCACCGCCTCGCTTTGAATGGCCTTTTTTGCAACTCATTAATGCAATATAAGCAGTCATGGCTATCCCCGGTGTATCATGGAATCACATAACATGTAATTTTTAGAGTAAAATTGATATTTTATACTTATCCTGACTCATGCTCTTTTGCTTGTCTTCTTCTTCTTGCGAACTTAGTGGAAACACTTGTATCTCCCTAATTGAAGCTCCCTTCAATGTAAAATCACTAATTAGTACTCACCACGAGTTACCCCCTTTCCACAAGCGCGGGAAACGAGGGCGCCACCTTCACCCATGTGCCTCACTCTCTCCTCATATACTGAGCCCAACATTTGAATTTACAGGGAAATCCAAAGTGTTATGTGGGGAGGATGGGAGGGCTGACCTCATGAGTCAGGATAAGTATAAAATATCAATTTTACTCTAAAAATTACATATTTTTCCTTATCCTGACGCATGCTCTTTTGCTTGTAGAATCCTACGGAATGGAGGTGGGAGTAATAGAATACTTTGGATTTTAATAATTAGTGATTTGATCTGTGATGATTGTAATAACCCTATGGGAACTTCATGAAGGCACTGAACTGATGAATTCCTGCTGCTAACTTATCAGCTGCCATATAAAGGTTATTACAATGTACTTATTATGATAAAGTATATATAACATATAACAATGCTTAAGACTGATAGACTTAAATTTGGTAATATGCTAGTATAAACTCCTTAGAGTTTGTTAGCTAAAATACTTTAAGATATAAACATAGTACTAAGCTTAAGATATGATTAAACTTAAGCTAATTATATAATAGCAAAACTCTTTAGAGTTTGTTAGTTAATATACTTATATGATATAGATATAATGCTGAGCTTAAGATATGAATAAGCTTTAGCTACATATATAATAGCCGAACTCTGTAGAGTTTGTTAGCTAATATATTTTTATAATATGAGTATAATACTGTCCTTAAGATATAATTAACTTAAGCTACATATATAATAGCAAAACTCTGTAGAGTTTGTTAGCTAATATATTTTTACAATATGAGTATAGTACTGTACTTAAGATATAATTAACTTAAGCTACATATATAATAGCAAAACTCTGTAGAGTTTGTTAGCTAATATATATTTTTACAATATGAGTATAGTACTGTGCTTAAAATATAGTTAACTTAAGCTACATATATAATAGCAAAACTCTGTAGAGTTTGTTAGCTAATATATTTTTACAATATGAGTATAGTACTGTACTTAAGATATAATTAACTTAAGCTACATATATAATAGCAAAACTCTGTAGAGTTTGTTAGCTAATATATTTTTACAATATGAGTATAGTACTGTGCTTAAATTATAATTAACTTAAGCTACATATATAATAGCAAAACTCTGTAGAGTTTGTTAGCTAATATATACTTTACAATATGAGTATAGTACTGTGCTTAAGATATAATTAACTTAAGCTACATATACAATAGCCAAAAACTCTGTAGAGTTTATTAGCTAATAGATTTATAATGTAACTATAGTACTAAGCTTAAGATAAATTTAGACTTAAGCTAAATGTATATAGTAAAAACTCCTTAGAGTTTATTAACTAATATACTTTTATGTTATAAACATAGTACTGAGCTTAAGATATGATTAAACTTAAGCTATATATATAATAGCAAAACTCCGTCGAGTTTTGTTAGGTAATACATTTTATAATGTAACCATACTGCTTAAGATATGATGAAACTTAAGCTAATTGTATAATAGCAAAAACTCTTTAGAGTTTGTTAGCTAAAATACTTACATGATATAAACCTAGTATTGAGCTTATGAAGGAAAACTTAAGCTACATATATAATGGCAAAAAACTCCGTAGAGTTTGTTAGCTAATACATGTTATAATGTAACCATAAAGCTTAAAATATGATGAAACAAGCCAAATATATAATATATATAATAGCAAAACCTCTTTTAGAGTTTTGATAGCTAATATACCTATATGATATAAACATAGTACTAATTTTGCTTAAGATATGAATAAGCTTAAGTTACATATATAATAGCAAAAACTCTGTAGAGTTTGTTAGCTAATACATGTTATAATGTAACCATAAAGCTTAAAATATGATGAAACTTAAGCCAAATATATAATAGCAAAAACCTCTTTTAGAGTTTTGATAGCCAATATACCTATATGATATAACATAGTACTGAGCTTATATAAACGTATTACTAAGCTTAAGATATGAATAAGTTTAAGCTACCTATATAATAGCAAAACTCCGTAGAGTTTGATAGCTAATATATTTTTATAATATGAGTATAGTACTATGCTTAAGATATAAATAACTTAAGCTACGTATATAATAGCCAAAAACTCTGTAGAGTTTGTTAGCTAATGCATTATCATGTTACCATAGTACTACTCTTAAGATATGATTAACTTAAGGTAAATATATAATAACAAACTCTGTAGAGTTGTTAACTTATATATTGTATGATGTAATAATCATAGTACTGTGATGATAAAAGGAACTTAAACAAATTATATATAGCATGTAGCTATTTAGTACTGTTATAAGATAAGTAGAAATCTGTAAGATTGACTTATCTTCTCCGAGGAACTGTCAATTGTTGTCGCGAGGACCATGGGATCGAATTGGTGGATACCTGAGGCGTCCTCGGTGGTGATATCTCTCAGATAATGGTTGGCAACCACCATATCGGATCTCCAGAAATAAACCCTCCATTATTCCAAAAACATTTGTGTAAATCAATTGTAGAAGTTAGCGTTCTAATATCATGAGTATTAAGCTCATGGAGGGTCGGATTAGGTCCATCCGTCTTGTATGCACATAGTATGACAGTTCTGATCCAACGGAGATATAGTGCGTGAGACTTCATTCTGCCTAAGTTGAAGATAGAGGAAATAATCTGTTGCATTTTCCCTTCCTGTTTGGTTGGTGGAGATAAATTTACAGTGCTCTTGCTGGCCATCATTGATAGAATCATCGTATCATGGAGCCCAAGTATGTTATCCAGGCGTGTTCATAAACCTCACTTGTGAGGTGTTGGAGTACTATATTGAGATCCCAAGTTGGGCGTGAATTTCCGTTTTAATTCTCCAATCAGAAGCTTAAGTAGGTTTACTAACCATCCAGTTGTGTTAGTAGCTTGATGATTAAATTCAACTGTAGTCTGAGGCGCTGTGGGTTTAGATCAACTTGTATCCCGTCGTCTAGGTAATTAGCTCTGCGAGGTTCTTGGCTGATGTAGGTGCACAACCAGGTGTGTCTGTCCTCGTTGAACTTTATGTAAATTAAGCCTGACTGCCGTGCTCTCGTCCTAACTTGACAGGGGAGGCCTCTAACCTGAAGAAAGCAGCCCAATCATGAAGGTTCAGGTTAACTGGACTGTAAGGAGGCTTGCTCGTTCACTGATATATAGTTGTCACTTGTGGCGTAAGTCTTGAACTGTGAATTAAGATCGACCTCGCGTAGAGTCGTTGTCCATCGCAGTCCAATCAGAACAAGGCATTTTGATTCTGTAGAATACCCGCGCTGTGATGTCACGGTGTAGCAGGAAAAACCTTGTATAAAATCTTGCCGTCGTTGATATTAGCATAATCGTCGGTCTTCACCGTAGCTTCGAAGTTACCCGAAAGTGACCGCGTGTTTCGAGGGTTAATGAGTAAACCTTGAAACCTTCGGTAGCGAAATACCTCGCTCTGTAATATTAATGCTGGGTAGGTTATTTTCCTGGCTGTCATGAAAGTAACTTCAGTTTGAATCTAATTCTGACTTCCTTATATAAAGGTACAATAACCTTGCAAGTTGTCAGCTTGTAGACTGTATACATGAATGTATCGTCCCTAATTGTAGAATTAAAGCTGAACTTGTTGTACATATTTCTTCTCAGAAAAGTTGGCGATTATGAGTTATACTGGCTGTAACAAGGCTGCTGTTCAATTTCAATATTGAATTGTCTGCAGATATGCGTAATGGTCGCATGTAGATAATCGTATTATCGTCGTCGGGATTGCATATTCTAGCCATCTATACGGAACAGTTGATTTCTGTGAAGATCTATGAAGCGTCGTTGACTAATTAATACAGCGGCGTTCTGTGTTGTAAATAGCCTGTGCAATTGTCTTGGCGTAGGCTTATAGATGGCATCTGGCATACAGTTGATAGACAACTTATGCGATGTCTTGAAACGGACTGACGAAAGTAGCTATATATGACCCAGTGGCTAGTATATGGAGACCTTGGAGGAGACTTCCTCGGTGAACTCTGGAGATTTCGCGAAGCCGGTGCCTTTCTGCGGTGTTAATGGGAGGGTCCACAGGAATATCATCCGACATCAGTGTAGAGGCATCAGGCTGCATGGTGATCTCTGCTGATGTCATTGTAGATGTCACCGGTCGCTTCTTATGTCGAGGGGATGATGATCGGCTGATCATCGTAGAGGCGTCAGGTCTCGCGTCTGGAACAATCTCGGTTGAGAAAGTCCTAGTAGACCGTTGATTTCCCCTCAGATGTCAGCGGCTTTGATAGCTTCACGAAGCTCTTGTGTAGTCCCTCGATGTCCTTCTAGATGATGATGATCTGGATTCAGGTGTCGCCAGCGAATGCCTTTCGCGAAGCTTCCTCGTCGGTCGGAGAACGGCGATATGACCTTCAGCGAAGGCTTCCGTGATGTCTGATGGTCGAGTCCACATCTAGGGATGAAACCGAAGAAGGTGATGATCTATCCGCCTTCGGCGAAGGCCTTAGCGAAGGTTGTACATCTAGGTCCTTCCGTCAAGGTGGTCCGTGACTTCCTTCGCGAAGGTGACATCGTCCTGGCTGCTACGTTGACGGGGGGTGTCTCTGGGGTGTGTCTACGTTGGAGCCTTCGCGAAGGCTCGGTCCCTGCTTCTGCAGTCTGTAGCGATCCTCCATCATGGTCATAATTTGCCGCATCAGGTCCTCAGGGATGGACTGCGACGAGGTGTATAAGTAGGGCCGAGTGGATCATCTTATCATCTTCAGAAGTGTCGTGTTCACGAAGTCTGGTGATAAGTGTCTCATTGATCGTTCTAGATCTATTTAGGCCAAGAACATACGTCTCGTCATGGATTCAACTGAACCAATTTACGATTGTAGTTCTTATTCTTGTCTATGGGTTGATTTTCTCGGAGACTTGTGAGGTGTGCGACGTCTGTGTTGAGTGTTGGTAGCGATGGGACCCTCAGGAAGATCATCGAATATCAGCGTTGGTACATCAGGCTGCATGCTGATCTGCGCTGACATCACTGTTGCCGACATCGGTCATTCTTTTGATGTACATCAGGTATGATGATCGGCTGATCATCATACAGGCCCAAATCCGGCTGTAGAGATGTAGTAGAAAACCTCTAGTCACGGCTGCGGCGATGGGATGTCTGGGGAAGCAGGGCGCTTCTTGGAGATGGCGGACTACGTCCCCGCCTCTCCACCACTCTAGCGGAACACCACACGGAGGGGAATTGACCAACAGCAGTAGACTGGCGAGGGTTCAGGTGTATCAGTCATACTAGACTCTGCATACGCGACCTATCTGCTGCGGCGTCTCAAGCGCAAAGTAAATATTAATAAAAGGTAGAATTGGATAAATTAGTACGCAACTGCAATGTGAATAAAATGAACATGGGCAGTACAACTAAGGCATATTAAAAGCGGATCAGCAGCAGAATAAAAACCGTAATCTGCAATAGTACAAAAATTTTCATCAGCGTAATCCACTGGAAACAAACACGGCGTCCCGTGAATAAACTGTAGAAAAACGACTAAATATCAATATATAATCGTTGAAGGATACTAGCTAAACCTCTATAGATGTCTATCACGAGGGGTAACTAACTAAATATAAATCAAAGGATATAGTGTCGGGAGACACAAGAGCTCTCACGTCCAGCTCACTGGGCGAAGAAGGAGAGAGTGAGGCACATGGGTGAAGGTGGCGCCCTCGTTTCCCGCGCTTGTGGAAAGGGGGTAACTCGTGGTGAGTACTAATTAGTGATTTTACATTGAAGGGAGCTTCAATTAGGGAGATACAAGTGTTTCCACTAAGTTCGCAAGAAGAAGAAAACAAGCAAAAGAGCACGAGTCAGGATAAGGAAAAATAAATATTTCAGGATATCACACTTGATATATCATCGGTCAAGGGAAAAGATATACCGTCCATATGTACCAGTTTGAACATTAACGGTGATGGTGAAGGCTTTACTGGTTAAAAGTCCCTAAGTGTTTAGTAACAAGAACAGCTCCCATCGCGCATAAGACATGCGCTGTCAGTTTAAGGTTGGACCATCCGGATCAGCGCTCCAAGCGGATTAGTGAAGGGAAGATAAATTAAAAAAGATTGCCCATTTAGATGCTTGAGTTGACTTTCAAGACACATTTTTCGTTTGATCGGGCTGAAATTATTGCCGTCGGCGGCATTCTGTAAAATAAAATAAAAATTTGGGGGTTCCGTCGGAAGGAAAATTTGGGTCGGTCGGGAGATGAGAAACACAGAAAAAAATACGGACGGCCTAAGAAGGATGCTCATTGTGATATAGCATCAGCACCAGAGACAGCATCAACATGTTTCCATGGAGACACTTACCTGCAGACATAGTCTGAGACTTCAGAGCCAGATTTTGATCTTTATTGGACACTAGTAAACTAAAAAGGAAACATTGACATGATCATTTAATCAAAAGTGAGCAAACTTGTGACAATATTCAACTTATCTTGTGACTGCCATTAAGATGACTAAAGGTGGAATTCCCTGTGGGTGCCCTGCTACCTACAATGGGTTGAAGGCAACCATTTGGATCAGACTAAATGACATGTTTGAGTGTCCCTGTATCATGACAGGGTGGACCATTGCTCACAATAACAAACCTGGAGCAATCACTCCGTGGTGAAGCAACAAGCATGTGACATCAAACTCAACACCAGGTCATCATGTCCGGCCTTGCCAGTCTTCCTAGTATGGTGCAATACAGGCACAGCGGCCTGCAGACCGAACATTCACTCACAACACATAAAGGCTGTGAATACAGACATACTAACACAGTTAAACTCTACAAAAGGCACTGATGAGATACTGTAATTCATGAAGTCAATGCGAGTGCCAGCCCCTGGCCTAAATTGATCATGAAATCAATGCGGGTGGCCCTACCTTTGAAGTATCATACATATAGTATAGGCCTTTCACTCACTCTGATAACAGGTACTGCTAACCCCCAAGTACATGTGTACAAAATTCATGATCCCCGCTACCTCCCCAGAACGAAATGTATGACTCCAGGTGAGTCTCTCTCACACGCACGCACGCACGCGCACACACACACACACAACCCATCCCACACCCCATAAATTATGAACGGTCCCTAAGCAAAAAGAAGTGACTTAAACTCACGACAGATGTGACACTTGTAGCTTCTTCTCCTCTATGGATCTGTGGAGCAGGCTCTGGTAGGACCTCTGCACCTCCACCAACTCCTTCAGCAACCTACACACACAAGACAGAGGTAAGTGTCTAGCATCGGTATCCAGCATCTGGCAGTACATGACACACTCATGCAGGTGGGCCTACCTGAAGTTCTCCTCCTCCATATGCTCCAGCTCCGACTGCAGTTCTCGACCAGCTGCCTTCCTGAATGACAGCGGTTTGAGTGAGTTTGCAGATGACACCCCAGAAGTGACTACTTCGTCCTCAATCTGGTCTCCTGATGCTTGACCATCAAATTCTGTCAATACGACAAAACACCTGTGTATTTCCATGTGTGGACTCATGATACAAACATACCAATACATGTTACCTTATGTATGTCTGATGGTGTGCTATTGTGTTTCCAACTTGGCTAAAGTATGACAAGTACAAAGTATTCAGAATACTCTGAAAGTGCAGACCGTTCAGCATATCTCACCTGGAGCCAGCATGATAAGTGCAGACCGTTCAGCATATCTCACCTGGAGCCAGCATGATAAGTGCAGACCATTCAGCATATCTCACCTGGAGCCAGCATGATAAATGCAGCATATCTCACCTGGACCATTCAAGTTCAATATATCTCACCTGGAGCCAGCATGATAAGTGCAGACCATTCAGCATATCTCACCTGGAGCAAGCATGATAAGTGCAGACCATTCAGCATATCTCACCTGGAGCCAGCATGATAAGTGCAGACCATTCAGCATATCTCACCTGGAGCCAGTATGATAAGTGCAGACCGTTCAGCATATCTCACCTGGAGCCAGCATGATAAGTGCAGACCGTTCAGCATATCTCACCTGGAGCCAGCATGATAAGTGCAGACCGTTCAGCATATCTCACCTGGAGCCAGCATGATAAGTGCAGACCGTTCAGCATATCTCACCTGGAGCAAGCATGATAAGTGCGGACCATTCAGCATATCTCACCTGGAGCCAGCATGATAAGTGCAGACTATTCAGCATATCTCACCTGGAGCCAGCATGATAAGTGCAGACCGTTCAGCATATCTCACCTGGAGCAAGCATGATAAGTGCGGACCATTCAGCATATCTCACCTGGAGCCAGCATGATAAGTGCGGACCATTCAGCATATCTCACCTGGAGCCAGCATGATAAGTGCAGACCGTTCAGCATATCTCACCTGGAGCCAGCATGATAAGTGCAGACCATTCAGCATATCTCACCTGGAGCCAGCATGATAAGTGCAGACCGTTCAGCATATCTCACCTGGAGCCAGCATGATAGACCGTTGCAGACCATTCAGCATATCTCACCTGGAGCCAGCATGATAAGTGCAGACCGTTCAGCATATCTCACCTGGAGCCAGCATGATAAGTGCGGACCATTCAGCATATCTCACCTGGAGCCAGTATGATAAGTGCAGACCATTCAGCATATCTCACCTGGAGCCAGTATGACCAGGGTTGTCTGCACCGCACCGCGTACCAACCCATCTAGCGTAAACATCCAGTGGGGCTGAATCTTGTGCGTCTTGAGACATGTGCTCACCTGCATTAACACAATTCATTACCTTCATTGTTGGCTATAAATGAGAACACCTATTTAGAGATGTGATACAGTAGTAAATGAAATTACACTACAAGCCATAAAACTGTCACTCTTTATATTACCATGATATTTCTGAAGAGTAAAACATATATAGCTAAGGCCTTGTTGACCATGTACGACTGTCAGACTCACAGCTTCATGCAACACATAAAGAGCTAGCTGGATCTCCATCAGCGCTGTCTGGTCAAATGTCAGGCTGTCTCTCAGCTCATCTGTAACACAGAAACCACAAGCTCCAACAATGTATGTCTCATCACTGTACCCTACTTCTAGTATATAAATATCACACAGGAAAACAAGATATGAGCAGCCTGGCGAGAGAGCATGCATCACCTACCTAGGGCTGTATTTAGAGCTCGCACGTTAGGGTCCAATATGTGTCCTCGGATGCCATTCAACAGGCACTTCAGATGATCCTGTGAAAAAAAACATTGTTCCAGATGAGGCAAATACATCTTGTATAACTTGATGCATTGGATGTTACATCTTCTCATTCAATACATAAGGTCCAAATGCACTAGAATGACATTCTAAATACAAGATGCCTTGACACATACCTGCATCCTTAGAAATATACATGTTGTATACTGAACCAACTTGACACTTGTATAACTGAATCCCACAATGGAGTCAGTGAGTTTAGTTTTATACCGCACTCATCAATATTCCATCTATATGGCAGCACCCACAATGGAAGTAAGTGTGCACATTATTATGAAAGAAGAAGGTACCGCCACAAACTAGAAGATAAAAAATGGTTTCCAGCATCATTTCACAGAAAACATAGTCTATATGGTTCCATGAGCCTCCAGGGCAAACTTCACATGTGTCACTTTTGGTAGAGAAGAAGTCAAATATGTAATTTTTCAAGTAAAATTGATATTTTTATACTTATCCTGACTCATGATCTTTTGCTTATCTCCCTTTTCCTTGCGAATGGTAGTGGAACACTTGAATCCCTTGAAGTTCCCGAAGCGGACGTAAAAATACACTCACCCACGAGTTACCTCCCTTTTGACCTTTCCCGCGCAAACAGTCATGTGACCAGCCTTACTTGTCAATCTCTCCTGATTTTCTGGCCATGCACTTGAATCTGCTGTGAAATCCGAAGTGTTTCCAGCGGGGAGGTTGGGAGGGCTTCTCATCATGAGTCAGGATAAGTATAAAAATATCAATTTTACTTGAAAAATTACATATTTTTTCTTATCCTGACTCATGATCTTTCGCTTATAGAATCCGATGGATTGGTCGTGGGTCAAACCACTTTGTGGATTCATCAGCTGTCCTTAGATACATCCTGTATTCCCCCCCATGGGAACTGCGAAACGGCATTTCCGTGATCCTTTTCTTCCAACTTCGGGGGGCACTTTCTTGTGTTACTTCTCTCTCAGACACGTTGAATCATGTGGCTACAGATAAACTAGTATCTTCTTATTACTAGATATCTTATAACAACCCATAGATTATGATGAGATCTTATCAAAATCAGTTGTAGCGACTGTGTCTGTTTGATCTTCAACAGTACTTCCGGTAGTAATATCGGGGGTGGAAATGCGTAAGCCTTTAGTCCTTCCCAAGATATGCTCAGTGCATCTGTTGCCCAGGGTTGAGGATCTGGAACTGGTGAGACAAACGTCTGTAGTTGTTTGTTGAACCTCGTGGCAAACAGGTCTATGCAAGGGAAGCCTATTTCCCTTATGATGAGCTGGAACGCTTCTGGATGGAGCATCCATTCCGTAGGTGATGGGTGCAGTGGTCGGGAGAGAGAGTCTGCAAGTACGTTCTTGGCTCCAGGTATGTAACACGCCTTTATCCAGATGTTTGCTTCCTCCGTGATGTGGAACAACTGGAATGTGAGCTGTAGCAGGCTTGGAGACCTTGCGGATCCTTGCCAGTTTATGGAGAATGTAACTGTAGAGTTGTCCGTGTGGACCATCAGCATTTTGTTGTTCAGCGAGCTCGACCATAGTTGTAAGGCGTTGATCACGGCTTTCATCTCCAGCAGATTGATGTGAAGATGCTGCTCTATTTTGGACCACCTCCCTGATGCAACTTGATTGTTGAGATGCGCACCCCAGACTTGTATCGAAGCGTCTACGTAGAGATGTGTGTCAAAGGCCGGCTCTTGTAAATAGGTCCCTCCACAAACGTTCAACCTGTGTGTCCACCACAGTAGATACCTCTTGAGGTTGTCTGGCAGCAAGATTGGGTCGACGCTGTCCAGATGTTTTGTCAGGAACCATTGCAGCGGTCTTAGTTGTAACCTTCCTGTGCGAGTCAAGTCCTGCGCCAAGGTTAGTAGACCGAGTAGAACTTGCCATGATCGTAGTGTTAACGGAGAGATGACTGCTAGTGGAATCATGGCTTGTATCTTGACCCAACGATTGTCTGGGATGACAATACGATTCTGTGTTGTGATAAACCTTATCCCCAGAAATAGCTGATCTTGTTTTGGTTCCAACTCTGACTTCATAAGGTTCACCAGCCATCCTAGTTGAGTGAGCAACTTGATCGTGAAGTTCAGCAGTAGTCTGATTTGAGTGCATCTTGGTGAACCTGAATTCTGTCGTCCAAGTAGAAGGCATTGTGTAGACCTCGATGATGTAGATATGCGACTATAGGCTTGGTTACTCGTGTGAATAGCCACGGAGCCGAAGATATTCCAAACGGTAAGACGTTCCATTGGAAGTGCTGCCCTCTGAATAGGAATCGTAGATACTTTCTTGATTCCGGATGTATGGGGATGTGTAGGTACACATCATGCAGGTCTATTCTGGCCATGTTATCTGCTGGATGGACGAGTAGTCTGAGTTGAGGTAGGTGGATCATTCTGAACCTGTCTGGTTTCAGTAGATGGTCTTTGTTGAATTTGCACATGTTGTAAATCAGTCTGAACTTCTCCTTGGAGTTCTTCTTGGGTACTAGCAAAATTGGGGAATAGAAGCCTGGAGTGAGATGATGCTGATCTATTATCTCTACCGCCTCCTTCATAAGTAGTGAGTTTGATGGCTTCTTGTAGTCTGTCTGCCTGCTCCTCTGCATAGTTGAAGACCATCGGGCTGAGGGTTAGCGGAGGTGTGGTCTTGAGTTGTACTCTGTATCCTTCTCGTAGTACTTGGGAGACATAGTCGTCCTCTAGTATTCCCCAATTTTTCCAGTACCTTTGTAGACGTCCACCTACTGTCGATGGTTTTACAGGAACGGCTGGGGGTGGAAGACTCCAGTCGTTTCGAACCCTGATATCAACGTCTAGTTCCTCTGGATTCTCTGGGAGCGCGGCCTCTCCCTGAGTTTCTCTGTAATTTCCGGATGGGCGACGAAAAGATCCTTTGCCGCCTCTGAAGCTGGAGTACTTCTTCTCCTTTGCCTTCTGTATGCTGGAATATTTGGACTTGCTGTTATTCTTTTGCGAAGTATGACGGATGACGTTGGCCAGAGTATCTATGGATTTTATCATCATAACTTCTCTCGGTCGTGCGTAGCTTCCTTAGCTGCATCGTCAATTTGTCCTCCAAAGATAGTAGGCGCCTCCCATGGAGCTCTCAGGAGCGGTTGGGTGAATCTGTCACTCCATGAACAGGATGTAAGTAGCCCTTGTCTGCGTAGTAAAGTGAGACCTGCAGATATAGATGCCAGATGGTCCGATAAAAAGTATTGGTCCTTCTTCTATGTTATGAGGGATAGTGACGGAGTCAAAGTCGTTGTTACGCATCATATAAGTGTAGACTTCATCTTTATCCTTAGAAGGAGACTCCAAGTTCAACCCGTTGGCAATCCAAGCTGTAACCTCTGCGTCTGGGAAGACGAAGTCTGCTTGCTGATCCAGTATCTCCTGATTATTAGAGCTAGGCCTACGTGTATCATCCATCTGCGAACCTGTATCCCTTCTCTCGAAACTTCATCATCCTTTCGCAAAACTCTGTCTGCAGATTCCTCCCTACGCGAACCTCTATCTGTAGATTCATCTCTTCGCGAACCTCTGTCATGTGAGTTTTCTCTTCGCGAACGTCTGTCGCTAGATGTATCCCTTCGCGAACTTCTGTGATGTGAGCTTTCTCTTCGCGACCTCTGTCTCGTGATGAGTGACTTCGCGAAGGTCTGTGAGAGATATGAGATCTCTATCTAGAGCGGCTAGGTGTAGGAGATGGATCCTTCGATGCTCTCGAATATTGAGGGTTCACAGATGTAGAACGATGAGTAGGCATCTCATGTCTTCTATCCTCCTCCAAGATGACACAGTCGTCCGACTGTGGAGACCTTCGCAAACGTGCACGTTCGCCAACGTAGTCTTGAGACGTAGTTCTCTGAGGAGTAGGTTTGCGCAGGTCCGTAGGTTTGCGCATGCTGTCGGTAGATGATAGGCATCGCCGAGCCTTCACTTCTTCCTCGAACCTGCGTTCCATCATGGTCATCCTCTGGTTGGTGAATTATCTCATAAATTCACCCGGGTCAAAGTTCTGCGTTGGTTGAAGCTGCTGCGGTGTAGAAGAAGCCTTCGTGAATGCTGATGAGTTTTGTGCCTCTCGTTCACTCCGTTGAGAAGTAAGTGGTAGTTCGTCAAACAGCTGTCCTGCTGTGACCGTTGCAGGAGACTATCTAGTAGTCGTAGAAGTCGATTGAGTCGCTGATCTCGTAGGTACTTCGTGTAGAAGTAATGGGGGATCATCAAAAACGTCTACTTCATGTGGAGGTAAAATCTCTCGTTGAAGGATTTCTGCTGCGTTGACTTATTGGCCCTTGTAGATTTACCCTCCGATCTGGTAACAGATGCTTTCTTCTGCAACGTAGAAGAGGATGGCGTCTTTTTCTTAGCTTGAGTCGGAGTCAACTGTGTTGTAGCCGATCTCTTCTTAGCCCCCGTACCAGCACACTGCCCCTGCAACGTACTCAACATAGCACCAGTATTATGAATTTCAGCAGTAGCAAGCAAAATACGGTTTGAAGGCTGATCTACTGTTTTATCAGCCGTGACTTGAGATCCATGGCATGACTATAGATATAAGACTAATATTGATTAAATTGTAGATTTGATAAATCAACACAATAAGTACAGCACAAGCTGGAAGAACATGGTTTTATGCACGAAGGGCATTTGGGGTGAGGATCAGCCACGGATAACCTGTGCCTGCAAACACTGCAAGATTTCATGAAATGTAAACAAAGCTACATAACGATGAAATTATGACACAAATACAAATAATTTTTACAAAATTTAATACATAGTAGTTATTGCCAAATCATATACAGGGAGAGAGTGACAAGTAAGGCTGGTCACATGACTGTTTGCGCAAGGGAAAGGGCAAAAGGGAGGTAACTCGTGGGTGAGTGTATTTTTACGTCCGCTTCAAGGGAACTTCATGGGATTCAAGTGTTCAACTACCATTCGCAAGGAAAAGGGAGATAAGCAAAAGATCATGAGTCAGGATAAGAAAAAATATGCGTGTTACCTCCAAGAGCACAAAATTGGTGCTTACAATTGACCAATTCCTGAGGTAGAAGTTTTCTATGGCACCACTGGATCACCAAAACACATCCTGGGAGGATGACTGTAATGGAATTTGTGTGGAGTGCCATCTTAAATGCCAATGCCTGATATTCATGTGTTTTAGGGGCTTTTGGAGGATCCTGATTGTCCTAAGGTGCATCATTGGTGCCAGTGCTGAGTGGTGGAGAGCCATCCGGGGTCCGTGTTACCAGCACTCAGGAGAGTGCACATCTGTCCCGAGTTGGGTGAACACATCTGTCCTGGGTGGGCTGTTCACATTTGTCCTGGGTGGACTGTTCACATGGGTACTGGGTGGGGTGTTCACATCTGTCCCGGTTGGGCGGTTCACATCTGTCCCGGCTGGGCTGTTCACATTTGTCCTGGGTGGGGTGTTCACATCTGTCCCGGGTGGGCGGTTCACATCTGTCAGGGGTAAGCTGTTCCCATCTGTCCTGTGTTCACATGAGTACTGGGTGGGCCGTTCACATCTGTCCTGGGTGGGCGGTTCACATCTGTCCTGGCGGACTGTTCACATCTGTACTTGGTGGGCTGTTCACATCTGTCCTGGGTGGACTGTTCACATGGGTACTGGGTTGACTGTTCACCTGTCCTTGGTGGACTGTTCACATCTGTCCTGGGTGGGCCATTCACATCTGTCCTGGGTGGGCTGTCCACATCTGTCCCGGGTGGGGTGTTCACATCTGTCCTGGGTGGGCCATTCACATCTGTCCCAGGTGGGCTGTTCACATCTGTCCTGTGTGGACTGTTCACATCTGTACTGGGTGGGCTGTTCACATGTCTTGGGTAGACTGTTCACATCTGTCCTGGGTGGACTGTTCACATGGGTACTGGGTTGACTGTTCACCTCTGTCCTGGGTGGACTGTTCACCTCTGTCCTTGGTGGGCTGTTCACAAGTCCTGGGTAGACTGTTCACCTCTGTCCTGGGTGGACTGTTCACATGGGTACTGGGTTGACTGTTCACATCTGTACTGGGTGGGCCATTCACATCTGTCCTGGGTGTGGTGTTCACATCTTTGCTGGGTGGGGTGTTCACATCTGTACTGGGTGGACTGATCACATCTGTACTGGGTGGGGTGTTCGCATCTGTCATAGGTGGGGTGTTCACATCTGTGCTGGGTGGGCTGTTCACATCTGTCCTGGGTGGGGTGTGCACACCTGTAAGGCTTGAAGTGCAGCTTTGGCCTGACCAAGTATAGAGACATCTCATAAAACCTTCTCAACATTGTTGATGGGTTTGTTGGATGACCAAGGCACAGGCCCTGCCCTGGGTAAGTGGCGACACCTGGAGACACCAGGTCAGTGAACATATACATGTACATCAGAAACTGACAATAATGCTGACACAAATGGAATCCATCATAGAGGATGGAACATGACATGTCTTGGAGAAAATGAAGGGAACACACAGTGTGGAAGGAGCTGTACATTTATTCATTCATCCATCCATTGGTTGGTTCATTATTCATTCGTTCAATATGGCAAGAAATGTTCCTTGAAGGATAAAATAAAATACCTGTGCCTTGAGCATGTACCTACTAGTTGCGTGGATATGTGTACTATATATACATGGTATACTAATTAAAAAAAAATCATAATAAACACAACCTTGTAAACAGCCTGAAAATCATGTACTTACAGTGTCAAGTTTGGGATTTGACATGGTGGCATCCCTGTGAAGGAGCATCAGCCACTGATTGCAGATCTGTAACAGAATAACATGAACAGGTAACTGGGTCACATAAGAGGGGCTACAAAATCATGGCACAGAAAAATATTTACCAAATGATCTGGAGTTGTTACCCAGTGGGACTGCATAATCATGTCACAGAAAGGGAAGAAGTAATGCCAGTGTAGCAGGCCATTTCTTCTCCAGTCTAAACTTTCCATGGGGAGAATCTGGCCTAGGCCAAACTTTCCCTGGGGAGGAGGAAAACTAAGTTCTATGGATAGTCAACTTCTTTATTGCAATGAGTGCGATGTTTCGGTGTAGGTACATCACTTGCTTGATAACAGTGTTAGTACCTACACCGAAACGTCGCACTCATTGCAATAAAGAAGTTGAATATCCATAGAACTTAGTTTTCCTTCATCTTCACAACTTCTAAAATGCCTCTCAAAGAACTTTCCCTGGGGAGGTTTTGTCCTAGGATATTCTTACCCCAGGGAAAGTTTGGGCTAGACTAAAGTTTCCCCCTCTAGGCCAAACTTTCCCACCTGTTTAAACTAGGATATTTTGGTCTGTTTTCCATGAAAAGTGGGGAGATTCTGGCCTAGCTAGGCCACTTATATCACTAAATCCATCCCTCTCCTGTCGCTATTCCTATGAAGGGGAGATTCTGGCCAAGCTAGGCTACTTCTTCCCCACCCTTGCTCTTATATCAAAAGGGGGAGATTTTGGCCTAGCTAGGCTACTTCTTCCCCACCCTTGCTCTTATAAACCGACAGTAGTTTTGAATTTTATTTTGGTACACATTTTTGCCAAATAGTCCATTTTTGCCTCTGACTTGGGTGTAGTGATTGGAATGCATACATGTTTGAGTGGCATATATCTCTAAATCCATCCCTCTCTTGCCGCCATTCCTATGAACACACATTGCATTAGTTCTTCATCTGTCCAAATCATGTCACCATAAGATGTAAACATTCAATCGCACATTTGATGGGTAAATAAGACGCAATATACACAGGTTGCTTGCTCTCTTATCATGCTGTTTATTATCTAATATTTGTTGTATTTATGTATAAATGTACTGGAACATTATTCACAAGCTTGTTTACTAATCCATAATCACCTTTGGTGAATGAAATATGATTCAGATATCCATGGGCCAAGTATACCCCTTATCAAACCTTTTCTTTTGAATATAGAATAAGGCAATATAGTGGAATGATAGATGATACAGCATTTGATACAGATATTGTGTTGGGTTGTTGTTGTTGTGTTGATGTTTACGTCTGCTTCCAACTGTTAAGTTGATGTCGCCGATGTGGATGCCATATTTAAAGCCATGAGTGAGGAGAATAAAATTTTGAATTGATATGGACATCCAAGTATAAACTGGGTATTTAGTTAAAGTTTCGAATATAGTAATGATTTTGAGATAAGCCAATTTGGAGTACCGGTAAGTGGGGATAAGTAAATTATTGAAACATAAAAATAAGTAAATGATAATATAAAACAAAAGCAATGATATAATATCTTTGCTTTTATGCTTGCTTTTCTTTTTAATCTCACCTTATATAAGGATATTGAAACAAAATGTGAACCACGACATGTTATATATGAAGATGAAGATGACCTGTAAATTGTTAATGGAACTTGACATCAAGATGAATATCTTGTCAATGTGTTCACATGATTAGCTTTGTCTTGTTTTCGTTTCTGACTTTTTCAAGACGAACATAAACATGAAAACAAGGTTTGGGAAGAAATAGCCTAGCTAGGCCAGAATCTCCAGCTTGTGATACAAGAACAAGGGTGGGAAAGAAGTAACCTTTAAAGTTGATTGAAGGGTGGGGGAAATTTGGCCTAGGACAAAGTTTTTCTGGGGAAGGTTTGTCCATGGGGAAAGTTGGCCTGTACACCGGGTTTTTTCAGCTAACAGTTAGGGACCACCGAATGTACTTGCTATGATTACCTCCTCAGTATCTTGAATGAGTATTTGTACAAGTGTGGAGCGCCGCTTCGAGTCCTTCCTCAGCAAGAAGAAGCCCCCTTCCCTGGAGGCTGAACTGTCCTGTGAGCAGTGGTCCACGTCGATGTCCGGTGACAGCATCACAGTGCTGGTCGGGGACAAGATGGAGTCCGTGCTGAAACACCACCACTATACTAGCCTCTGAACCCCGGCCAGGAGATACACACTGGCCACATCACCACTATACTAGACTGGGAAGCTCGGCCAGGAGATACACACTGGCCACATCACCACTATACTAGACTGGGAACCTCGGTCAGGAGATACACACTGGCCACATCACCACTATACTAGACTGGGAACCTCGGCCAGGAGATACACACTGGCCACATCACAACTATACTAGACTGGGAACCTCGGCCAGGAGATACACACTGGCCACATCACCACTATACTAGACTGGGAACCTTGGTCAGGAGATACACACTGCCCACATCACCACTATACTAGACTGGGAACCTCGGCCAGGAGATACACACTGGCCACATCACCACTATACTAGACTGGGAACCTCGGCCAGGAGATACACACTGGCCACATCACCACTATACTAGACTGGGAACCTCGGTCAGGAGATACACACTGGCCACATCACACTATACTAGACTGGGAACCCTCGGCCAGGAGATACACACTGGCCACATCACCACTATACTAGACTGGGAACCTCGGTCAGGAGATACACACTGGCCACATCACAACTATACTAGACTGGGAACCCCGGACAGGAGATACACACTGGCCACATCACCACTATACTAGACTGGGAACCTCGGCCAGGAGATACACACTGGCCACATCACCACTATACTAGACTGGGAACCTCGGCCAGGAGATACACACTGGCCACATCACCACTATACTAGACTGGGAACCTCGGTCAGGAGATACACACTGGCACACATCACCACTATACTAGACTGGGAACCTCGGCCAGGAGATACACACTGGCCACATCACCACTATACTAGACTGGGAACCTCGGCCAGGAGATACACACTGGCCACATCACCACTATACTAGACTGGGAACCTCGGCCAGGAGATACACACTGGCCACATCACCACTATACTAGGCTGGGAACCTCGGTCAGGAGATACACACTGGCCACATCACCACTATACTAGACTGGGAACCCCGGCCAGGAGATACACACTGGCACATCACCACCACTATACTAGACTGGGAACCTCGGCCAGGAGATACACACTGGCCACATCACCACTATACTAGACTGGGAACCTCGGTCAGGAGATACACACTGGCCACATCACCACTATACTAGACTGGGAACCTCGGCCAGGAGATACACACTGGCCACATCACCACTATACTAGACTGGGAACCTCGGCCAGGAGATACACACTGGCCACATCACCACTATACTAGACTGGGAACCTCGGCCAGGAGATACACACTGGCCACATCACCACTATACTAGACTGGGAACCTCGGTCAGGAGATACACACTGGCCACATCACCACTATACTAGACTGGGAACCTCGGACAGGAGATACACACTGGCCACATCACCACTATACTAGACTGGGAACCTCGGTCAGGAGATACACTGGCCACATCACCACTATACTAGACTGGGAACCTCGGACAGGAGATACACACTGGCCACATCACCACTATACTAGACTGGGAACCTCGGCCAGGAGATACACACTGGCCACATCACCACTATACTAGACTGGGAACCTCGGACAGGAGATACACACTGGCCACATCACCACTATACTAGACTGGGAACCTCGGACATGAGATACACACTGGCCACATCACCACTATACTAGACTGGGAACCCCGGACAGGAGATACACACTGGCCACATCACCACTATACTAGACTGGGAACCTCGGCCAGAGATACACACTGGCCACATCACCACTATACTAGACTGGGAACCCGGCCAGGAGATACACACTGGCCACATCACCACTATACTAGACTGGGAACCTCCGCCAGGAGATACACACTGGCCACATCACCACTATACTAGACTGGGAACCTCGGACAGGAGATACACACTGGCACACATCACCACTATACTAGACTGGGAACCCGGTCAGGAGATACACACTGGCCACATCACCACTATACTAGACTGGGAACCTCGGTCAGGAGATACACACTGGCCACATCACCACTATACTAGACTGGGAACCCTCGGCCAGGAGATACACACTGGCCACATCACCACTATACTAGACTGGGAACCCGGTCAGGAGATACACACTGGCCACATCACCACTATACTAGACTGGGAACCTCGGCCAGGAGATACACACTGGCCACATCACCACTATACTAGACTGGGAACCCCGGTCAGGAGATACACACTGGCCACATCACCACTATACTAGACTGGGAACCTCGGTCAGGAGATACACACTGGCCACATCACCACTATACTAGACTGGGAACCTCGGCCAGGAGATACACACTGGCCACATCACCACTATACTAGACTGGGAACCTCGGTCAGGAGATACACTGGCCACATCACCACTATACTAGACTGGGAACCTCGGCCAGGAGATACACACACACTGGCCACATCACCACTATACTGGCCACAGACTGGGAACCTCGAACCTCCAGGGAGATACACACTGGCCACATCACCACTATACTAGACTGGGAACCTCGGCCAGGAGATACACACTGGCCACATCACCACTATACTAGACTGGGAACCTCGGCCAGGAGATACACACTGGCCACATCACCACTATACTAGACTGGGAACCTCGCCAGGAGATACACACTGGCCACATCACCACTATACTAGACTGGGAACCCCGGTCAGGAGATACACACTGGCCACATCACCACTATACTAGACTGGGAACCTCGGCCAGGAGATACACACTGGCCACATCACCACTATACTAGACTGGGAACCTCGGTCAGGAGATACACACTGGCCACATCACCACTATACTAGACTGGGAACCTCGGCCAGGAGATACACACTGGCCACATCACCACTATACTAGACTGGGAACCTTGGTCAGGAGAGATACACACTGGCCACATCACCACTATACTAGACTGGGAACCCGGCAGGAGATACACACTGGCCACATCACCACTATACTAGACTGGGAACCTCCCACAGGAGATACACACTGGCCACATCACCACTATACTAGACTGGGAACCTCCTCACAGGAGATACACACTGGCCACATCACCACTATACTAGACTGGGAACCCCGGTCAGGAGATACACACTGGCCACATCACCACTATACTAGACTGAACCTGGGACAGGAGATACACACTGGCCACATCACCACTATACTAGACTGGGAACCCCGGCCAGGAGATACACACTGGCCACATCACCACTATACTAGACTGGGAACCTCGGTCAGGAGATACACACTGGCCACATCACCACTATACTAGACTGGGAACCTGGGGCCAGGAGATACACACTGGCCACATCACCACTATACTAGACTAGAACCCCGGCCAGGAGATACACACTGGCCACATCACCACTATACTAGAATGGAACCTCGGTCAGGAGATACACACTGGCCACATCACCACTATACTAGACTGGGAACCCCGGTCAGAGACACACTGGCCACATCACTACTATACTAGACTGGGAACCCCGGACAGGAGATACACATGGCCACATCACCACTATACTAGACTGGGAACCTGCGTCCAGGAGATACACACTGGCCACATCACCACTATATTAGACTGGGAACCTCGAACAGGAGATACACACTGGCCAAGCATCACCACTATATTAGACTGGGAACCTCGGTCAGGAGATACACACTGGCCACATCACCACTATACTAGACTGGGAACCACCGGTTGGGAGATACACTGGCCATATCACCCACTATACTGACTGGAACCACCGGCAGGGAGATACACACTGGCCACATCACCACTACTAGACTGGGAACTCCTCGACAGGAGATACACACTGGCCACACCACCACTATACTAGACTGGGAACCCCGGCGATGAGATACACACTGGCCACATCACCACTATATAATTAGACTGGGAACCTCGGACATGAGATACACACTGGCCACATCACCACTATATACTAGACAGGAACCCCGACAGGAGATACACACTGGCCACATCACCACTATACTAGACTGGGAACCC